TGGATATTTTACTTAATGTAACTATTAATCTATAGAAGGAAAAACTAAATATCAGAATAGCTAGAATAATAGTAAAATATGTATATATTTTGTGTATATCCTATCAGAAATTTAATGTTATCTTTTTGCTACCATTATCTCTGAAGATCTTGTTACTTATAGTTCAAGAAAGGTAAAGAGGAAAGGGTCTTCTCATTTCTATCAGGAAACCCATCTGTATAGATTATATGTATCTAAGTTTTATACATGTTGATCGTATACTTTTTCATTGGATGTGGGGAAATGTCTTGAAGGACATTCATTAGTAGTTCTGGTAATGAAAAGACACACTGAGATGTACATAGGGCAGAGGTGTTGAAGATTACAGGTCCTAATAGTAGGTAAGAACAGACACTAATTATTAGCTCTGGGTCTTTTTTTTTTTTTGGTGGTATTGGGTTTGAACTCAGGGCCTTGCACTTCTTAAGCAAGTGCTCTACCACCTGAGCCATCCCCCATTCCTAATTGTTAGCTATTAGAGATGGGAGTCTTGCTGTATCGCCCAGACTGGTCTTGAACTCCTCAACTCAAGTGGTCCCCCTGATTCAGTCCCAGGGCCTTGACTACAGACATGTGCCACCATGCTCAATTTGGTTACTATTTATTCCATACAAATTGCCTTTCAGGCTTATAAAATGCTATGGAAAATGCTGATAAGATTGACTTTTTGGAATAAGAGAATGAGATCCAAGGGACTTGTAATTAGTCCAATACAAATGTTGAGTACTGCTGGAGTTCATAATCTTTGTAATGTCATCTCTGTTTGATATTTTGGTACTTCCTACAGCAATTAGGGGAAAACCTACAACAAAAAGGAAAAAATATGCTTTTCTTGTGTAAAGATACCAAAAGAAAAGAAAAGAAAGACAGCCAACATCTATTTTGTATTCATCTATTTTGTATTTTTGTATTTTGTATCTATTTTGTATTCTTTACTATGTGCCAGGCATTGAGACAAATGCTTAGTTTTTATACCCAAGAAGGCAGTCATTTTAGACATGAGGAAGCTGAATTACAAAAGTCAAATATATATAAAATAAACAGCTATTTTTGGATACCCAAAACTATGACTTCTCCATTATAAAACACCTGTGTGAATGTCTAACACCAGTATAGCCTGAAGACAGGTGAATGATTCTCCAACATTGAGATCTTAATATTATCTATTTTAGAAGGATTTTTAACTTGCTGGATTTTTAACCTGAGAGACACTAATAATGAAGATGTAAAGAAAGGACATTTTAGAAATCAAAACTCTATATGGAAATATAGGCAAGGAAATCTCCTTTCAATATTAACCATGAGATAGCTACTAAGTTATTCCATCAAACAAAACTTGCTTATAATCATTTAATGGTTAATACTAATATTTCCTAGTTTGTCTTTACAGAATAGAAATAAGTATGGCTTTATAAAGCCATCTTGATCAGTTCCTTTTGGTAAATTATTCTAAAACATGAGTCAAAATAATAATCATATATTAGGATAACACGAAAATGAGTTTTATCAGCAGGAAATAAAAGCCAGAAAAGGAGGTTCAATAATTCTAAGTCTTAATTAAATTCCTCCATGAATACTGTGACTATATATTTTCAGCTGGATATTTTGGACTTTTGTAGGAAAACATTGCAATCTGAAATGAATTATATGAAAAAACAAACAACCCAATAAAAATGTACAAAAGATTTGAATAGATATTTTACCAAAACAGATATATAAATGGCTAATATGCTCATGAAGAGACTCGATAATTAGTCATTAGGTAAATCCAAATCAAAACCACCATTAGATACTATTTCACATCCACGAGAATGAGGATGGCTACAATCAAAGAATCAGGGGAAGGAGTTTAGCAGAATGTTTGCCTAAAGAGTATGAGGCCCTGGGATTTGAGCCTCACACCACAAAATCAAAAACAAAACAAAACAAAAAAGAGACAGACAAAAACAAATGTTGAAGATGTAGAGAGATGAGAACCCACAGAAAATGCTGGTGGAAATGTAAAATGATCACTTGGCAAACAGTTTGTCAGTTTACTAAAAAAAGGAATTAAACATAAACATAAATTTACCAAGACCCAGCAACCCAAGAGAAATGAAAACATATTCATACTAAATCTTGCACAGAAATGTTCACGCATTATTTGTAAGAGCCAAAAGTGAGAAAACAACCTAAATATCCACCAATTATGAACAAATAAACAAAATGTGGTATATTTATACAGTGGAATGGTTATCAGAAATAAAAAGGAACAAAGTATTGGTACATTATGCAACATGAATGAATATCAAAGACATTATGTAAAAAGAAGGAAGGTGTAAGACACTACACATATTGTATGATTTATATGAAATGCCTAGAAGACACAAATGTATGGAGAAAGAAAGTAGAACTGGTGGTTATCTGTGGCAGGGAGTGGGAATGAGGATGAGAAAGCTTACTGAGGTCATGAAAATGTTCTAGAATTTATTTATGATGACAGCTGTAACACTTTGATAAATTTTCTAAAAACCACTGAATACACCTGAATTGGGTAATATATATACCTCAATAAATTTGTTTAAAAAACATACCATATCAGGATGCACTGACTATACCAATCACTGGACACAAATAGCACTCTATCATGTACAACAGGCCTTACTGTACTTATTTGTGTACATGTCAGTGAGCTCATCTAGTCTGGGGTCTGCAGGTTAGCATATAATAGCTACCATCAGCATCTAGCTGAGGGACTGGAACATACAGTAGAGGCTCAGAGTTTGTTTAACCGAAATATGCTTCAAAACAATTAGAAACAAGAACAATTTCAGAAATATAACCAAAGACAGAAGCAATTAGTTCTTTCTGTATGTCCAAGTTTTGCCTTGCAGGAAGAGTGAGTTAATGGCAATAACAGGTACTCTCATTTCATGGTAGGCTGACTGCTACCAACTCCCAGCAAGTAAACAACGAATTCATTCTCACAAGGAATACTACATTATACTGAAAAGAAAAAAATGGTTATTTGGGATTTTATTCTTCATGGGTAGTAAGAATAATTTATAGCAAAACACAAGTTATACACAAAATATAGTTAACATTTTAAAAATCATTAAAGACTTTCCTAATGATTCACAATCTAGTGATTTTTATAAAAGCATAGGCATTCTTCATTACCACTGACCATTCCTTCTTAGAAGACAGAATGTATAGTAGAAAGAGCACTGCCATCCCAGTAGCTCTGTGCCATTCATTGATGACATGACTCCGGTCAAGTCACTTTTCCTTCTTAGGTTATAGTTTCCCTTTTAACTATTAGCACACCATGCTGAGGAAAATTAAGGTGCTTCAGACAGGATGAAAATGAGAAGCTCAATCTCTTCACTATACACAGTAAAGGACATTCCTACTTTGTAAGGTAAAAACAGAAAGCCATGGATGATGCATTCAGTGGCCCCTTACACATATATATGACTTGCATCCCAACACCAGGTCCCACCCTTCATCAACATGCATACCCAAATATCCCATCCCTCCCACCTTTGGCCCACACCCCCGTATACCTCAGCTATGGTCATTCTCAGAGCACTGACAGGGGAGAGCTCAATATCCACCAGTTGGGCAGCTTTTAAACTCTGCCCAGTAAAGATTGCACAAGGACAGAAAACAGCACAGAGTTAGAATTTTAAGGCAAACAGGGACAGAACAGCTAAGAACATTTAGCACAGTGTCTAGAAACAAAGAAAGAAGAACTTAGGGCTACAGTTGGGCTTTGGAAAAGTAAGATGAGAGTCAAAGTTATTCTGATATTTCAATGACAAATGGGTAAAGATAAAATCATTTCAAGTTGGTCATAATTTCAAGTATATGAAATTTGATAAACTTGTTCATACCCTGACTTTCATCCCAGGCTTAAAAGAAGGTCAAATTATAGAGGAGTGGTCACTGAATCTTTAAGAAAAAGCAGGTTGATTTTTAAGAAAGGCACTAATACAAAGGGCAAAGACTATCATCCAGAGACAAATAGTGATTTCCTATCTTTCTTTATGTAGCCACTAACAGGGCTACCAAAAATATAAGAAAAGTAATGAATATCCTTGGCAAATGTATGTCTGTGAAACTGTTACCATTAAACTCTGGAAACTATATTGTAAGTTTTCCTTGTTCTGACTCTAAATTTACCAAAAGATGTTATGAATGTAATTTGACATCCATCTTCATTTGCTTAAAAGGACAGAATGTGCTAGTTATGTCCACATGTGCTTTCTCCTTTTGTAATACCAAATTTCATTTTTATGTTATTACATTAAAATTTCATCTCTTTTAAAAATACAAATTGCGCCTGGAAGTGTGGCCTAAGTGTTAGAGTGCCTGCCTAGCAAATGCAAAGCCCTGAGTTCAAAGCCCAGTACTGCCAAAAAAAGGAAGAATGCAAATAATGGCAAACATTTTTCATAAACTCAGAAAAAATGCATGTTTAATGTCTGCTCTTTAAAAGTTGCCAATTGGGCTTATGCTAAAATGTTAACATTTTAAAATCTGAAGGGAATTATCAAGGGCCTATAATTTTTACAAAGTCAACCAAAATGTTTTCACACACATATTTATTATCCCATTTATTAATTCCATTCTGGTTAAAATTTAATCACTGGTTGGTTGTTCTTCATGAAGAATTTCATGGAAAGAAGTACAATTTATATTTGAATAAATTTATTGACTATTTTTCTCCTCTCACTTGTGTTCAGATTTTTAGTAAGTTATCTTCTAATTTAACTTCATGTGGTTGTGAAAATAATGACACTGGGTGCATTAGCCACATTTTAGATAGAAGATACATCATGGTTTCTCTGCACCCTCATGGCTTTGTTATAAAATTAATGAGACACACTCAGCTTTTCCTGCCTATTCCAAGGATCATGGCTATTTGAGCACAAACACAACTGCACAATGAGTGAAACAAGGACCCGGAACTCCCTTACAGTATCACTGTCACAAGGCTGGAACTGGAAGGGCTGAGGTTTGTGAAATACAGCATTCTCTTGTAAAAACAGCTGAAGGTTATAGTCCCGTACCACCTAAAGAGAAAACAAGATACTTTTAAGTCTTTAAAGGATAAAATGTCCAGTAACTATATTTAGCTATTTTCTAAACAAATGAGAAATCTCCTAACACTATGTTGTCAAAAAGAAATGATAGCGCGCTACACATCTTATTTTCGCTTTAGGTAAGAATTATTACTCGTGTACTATTTTCTCAAGAATCCAAATTTGGTAAGTACTAGTTTACAAGTCAGCCCAGATTCGGAGAGTAGACAATATGATACATATACATTTGTGTGTGTATATATATATATGTATACACACACACACACACACACACACACACACACACACACACACACACACACACATATTGAACTCGGGGCCTTGCACTTGCTAGGCAGGTGTTCTACCATTTGAGACACACCCCAGCCCTTTGTGCTTTAGTTTTTTTGGATAGGGTCTAGCACTTTTACCCAGACTGACCTGGACCCAATCCTCCTATTTATACCATCCTGCCTAGCTGGGATGACAGGCATGTGCCAGCACACTCAGCTTATAAATTGAGATGGGGGGGGGTCTTGCTAACTTTGGTTTTTGCCTAGCTAGCCTTGACCCATGATCCTCCAGATCTCCGCCTCCCAAGTAGCTAGGATTACAGCTGTGAGACACCATGCTTGGCTACAAAATAGCATACTTAGAGTATTTCTTGGCACCTTTTGGAGAACGCTGTATCCTGAACACTATCTGCATACTATGAAGACAGACTAAGAAGGAATTTATGCAGGAGAATTCTGCCAAACAGAAAGCAGCAAGACTGGCAGCACAGAAAGATGGACAGCTGAAAAAGAATTCATTGCATTATATACCCTGGGAAAGGGTAGAAACAGCAACATTTGATTGCATGGAAACCCAAGTTCTATTTTGCTCCATTGCCTACCCTTCACTGTCTTTCATTTGTAGCACATTTCAGTTCATTAGAAACCGCCAGAGGCAGGGATTTAACTTCATTCCTTTACATATATGGTTATCTACTTGTTCCTGAACTTTTTGTTGAAGACAATATTCTTTTCCCACTGAATGGTCAAGGCACCTTTGTTGAAAATCAATTGCCCACAGAAGTCTGGTTTATTTCTAACCTCTAAATTCCATTCCATTGGTGTGTATGTCTATTCTTATAACCATACCACACTGTTTTCACTTCTTATAACTTTGTAGTAAATTTTAAAATTTAGAAGTGAGAGTCCTCCAACTTTATTTTCCCTTTTTCAGTATTGCTATAGCTATTAAGGGCTCTGTGCAAATTCTATATTAAGTTTGACTTTTCTGTTTCTAAAAAGAAAGGCCATTTGAGATCTGGGCTTGGTGACACATGCCTTTAATCCCAGCTACTTGGGGGTGGAAAGAGGAGGATCAAAGTTGCATACAAGCCCAGGCAAAAGTCAGTGAGATCCTATCTCAAAAACAAGTTGGGTATGGTGGTACACATCTGTAATCACAGCTACTTTGGAAGAAAAGATAGGAAGATTTCAGTTCAAGGCCAGCATGGGAAAGAAAGCCTAAGACCCTATCTGGAAAATAAGTAAAGCTAACAGGGCTAGATGAATGGCTTAAGTGATAGAGCACCTGCCTACCAAGTGTGAGGCTCTGAGTTCAAACCCAGTACTGCCAAAAAAAATTATTTCTGGGTATTTTACTCTTTGGATACTATTATAGTTGGAATTGTTTTCTTAATTTTCTTTTTGGATCCTTTATTGGTAAGAGTATGGAAACACAATTGGTTTATTGTTTTGATCCTGAATCTGTAACTGTTTTACCTCCAGTAGTTTTTATATGGATTCTATAGGATTTTCTATATATAATCATGTCATCTGCAAACAGAGGTACTTTTTGTTTTTCTTTTAACCGCTCAGCTTTAGTTGTTTTTGGATGGATGGAGCACAAGTAACTTCATTTGGAATCTGAAAATTTCCCCACTTGTCTGCACAATTTTCTTTTGTTTACTTTTGTTATATAAATTAACCCATGTTGTTGTAGGCTAAGGATGTCTCAAATGGTAGAGCTTCTACTGGTCTTCAATTTCTTCAGTCTTCTGATGGCAGACTTGAGTGTGACTGTGGAAGTGGTGTTGTACCAGGCACCATTAGCCACAGTTTTCAAGCAGGAACCACAGTACCAGATTCCCACAGCCCATCTCTTCATCTTGATTTTGCTACTGAAGGAACAGGTGTACTTTGGCATGCTGGCTGATTTCATTGTTTTTTCACCATTTTCTGGAGGGAGGCACCATAGCAGTGTCATATTTACCTACAATTCCAATCCGATCTTCTTGGTACATATGGCCATGTCACTAGGACCTAGGTCTGAGCCAGAGAGCAACAGTTTTCTCTTAAACTGTTTGTCTCTGAATGGTTTCTTATCACCAGGATGAGATGTCATGGTAGGTATTGTCCTCATTGCTGGGATGAAATGTCCTGGTTGGTCTGATTTGATCTCAGGCTGGAAGGCAGTGACAGCTAGGTTAGGTATGTGAGTCAGTGCCAACAATTCCTTTGGTGCCTCATTTTCTTCCAGCATCCATGTTTCCCTGTGATCTGTACCAAGGAACAGTCTTGCTTTATCTTTAAGTGTCTCTTGTAGCATAGAGAATTTCATCTAATTGAGTCTGAGAGATAGCACAAAGGGAACCCTTGGAAAGATCAGGCAGTAGGCCCCATGCCTCTTACAAGAACAGATTAGATCTGAGTCAAGATATATTAGATCCAAGTCACCGCAGCAAAAAATGTTATCAGAAGGTCAGAAGAATTTGGGCAAGACGTGGAAATGTAGTAAAAGTGAGTCATCTCTAGGGTGAGAAGACTAGAGGTACTTTTAATTCTTCTTTTTTCTTATCTAATTAAGTGAATAGCAGTAGTGACAGTATGCTTTCTCATTTTGTACCTGATCTTGGGGGGAACCTTTGAGGACTTCATTATAGAGTATGATATTAGCTGTAAATTTTTCACAAATGCCATCATGTTCTGTCAGTTCCCTCTATTCCTTGTTATTGCTTTTTTTTTTTAAGTCACAAAAGGATGTTGAATTTTGTCAAATGCTTTTTCTGTGTCCACTGGAATGATCGGATGATTTTTCTCTTCATTTTGTTAAATTTTTTTTCTTTAGTATTTAAAGTATTAAACATGCTAACAGTGGATAACTTAATTTCCAAAGAAATACAGAGTAACATTTTTATTTTATAAATTGTTCAAAAAGCTAATTATTGGTAAGAGTTTCTTTATGCAAACAGAAAGGAAGTACATAAACACACTATAAAGGCTAGCAAAGCTATCTTTGGAGTTACTATCCTACAGAAAATATCTGTGTCAACATCTGCTTCAGTTACATATACAAAGAATTTCATAAAATATTAAGGGGAAACACAAGCTTAATAAATAATTAAACTTTAATAAAAGCGCCTAAGGCCAGCTGTTTCCATTTACAGGATGAAAGATATAGAGAACATCTTAAATTTATTGTGTGTCATGTCAGTATAAATCACCCCAAAATATTTTTAGGAATATGCTACATTTTAGAATGTGGAAAAAACTAGATTTTTACCCCAAAAGACAAAGTAACAAAGATATAGAATACAAAGACTACAATCACTGAGCTGTTCTCAGCAGTTTAACAAGAGCAGCATAACAAGCTCTTTGTAACAGGACAGCACATGGCATAAAACTTGTAGGTGTGAGCTCTTCTCACCTGGAACAAAAGTGCACATCTCTCAGATATGTATGTCATTTGCATTAAATTTTTATTCATAAGGGCATCTCATTTGTACCTAATCCCTGGGCAGCGAGACACTCATGAGTGAATACAGAAAATGAAAGCTTATCTCTTTATGTGTCCAAAGTGGTTCATAAATTCTTAATTCGTTTTCAGTTAAAATAATATAAGCTAAAGAAGTAATACAGCACAATATAATACAGCAGAAGAGCACGACCGTAAGGAAAGCACTAAGTGTGAGTGTATGCCCTCAGGCAAACCCAAAAACTCCCTGTATTCTTCTTCATAAAATAAGCATGGGAATACCAATCTCGTGCTAAAAACACCTAGGAAATTAAGTGCATGTACAACATTACCCATTTGTTACATAAACATTTGTTTTATAAACTAAGGACAATGTAGCCAATCCAACTTTTTCTTGGAAAAAGAAATTTCAAAGAATTTTACTAGGGGATAACATCTCTGATAAAGTTAGAATAAATGCATTAGAATAAAATAGTTTCTAATAAAATTAGAAATGAAAATGTCACTCTGCAACAAATGCCCACTGAATGTAAACTGCAATAGTCACTTCTAAATAATTTATGGGTTAAGGAAGGGAAGGGAAAAATGTAGAAATAATAACAAAAGCCCTCCACATCACAGACTGCAGTTAAAGCAGCAAAATACATTTTTTAGCTTTACATGGATTTACTTTTAAGAAAGATTGAAAATATAGGGCCTAAATAAAAGAATATGCTTGAGAAAGAATGAGACCATAAAGTATAAGAATACAGAAAATAATAATGTAGCTGGAAGCAAGAATTAAGGAAATAGAACAAAAAGGAGAACAAAAGCTGGCTCTTGCAAAACTAAACCACTAAAATAGACTGATATGTCTGATCAAAATAAAGTTCAAACAGTATTACAAATAAAAAGACAACTATAGAGGCAAACAAGCTTATAAAAATTTGTGCCATCAAATCTGAAAATGGACAGCTATCTAGGAAAATGTAAATTACTGAAATGTACTAGGAAAAATAATACCAGAAAACCTGAATTAACCAATAAACATAAAAAAATATGCTCAAAATGGAAGGGGTTGAATGGACCAAAGTAAGGTATACTCATGGCAGAGATATATTGAGAAACACCTTTGAATATTAAATATTAATAACGAAAGACAGGACTGTGAAATAGGTAGTGTGTGTGGGGAGGAGGGTACTACTGGGAGGGGGAGAGAGAGGGGGAATGAAGGAGATTAGGTGAGAGTATATGGTTGATGGACTTCATAGACTTATATGAAGCAGAACAAAGAAACCTCTCGAATCACTTTAAGTGGGGCAAGGGGGTTGAGGGGAGAGATGGTGGAGGTGATCTAGCTAATGTACAATATAAGCCTACTTGGAACTGTCACAATGAATCCTCCCATACAATGAATGTATCTAATAAAAAATATGCTCCGTAGTCAAAAACACATCATTCCATAGAAGGAACAAAGTCAATTTGACTTTTTCCCAACAATCTTTTATGGAAAATTTCAAATACACATACCTTAACATAAAAAGAATTGTCTAATAAACAGCTATATACCCATTATCATTATTCTACAATTAACATTTTAGTTTTTTCTTTTAAAAACTTATTACCCATCTATCCATCCATTCCTTCTTTCTACACATCAATCCTTTTAGGTATATTATTGGGGGGGGGATAAAAATATGGGAAAATAAATATGTAACAAGATGTACATCAAACAATTGATGTTTTATTTTCATATCAACTTATGATTTTTAATGTTTTTCTAAATACAAAATTGGGAATTAGATCCACTAAAAATAAATATACATAAGAAGGTATTTAAGATAATCCGTGCACCCTTTCATTCCTGTCTTTGAACACTATCTTTTGAAGATGAATACCCTGACCCCTTCCCAAACATTTTCTAAAGGTATTAGCTAGTTCCTACTCTCCCCTGCCAAAAAAGAGAATTGAACTAGATCTTTTAAAGTAGTTGTTACAAAATGCATATATTTTTATAAATGAATGCACTGTTTGGAGGCATTTACTATGCATTTATCTGAGAGAAAATAACATTTACTCATCACAGAAATACTGTATCTTCTAGAGGACAGTTTCACTGCTGCAAAAAAATGTTAATCTATCAGAGCCTGAAGAAAAGTAATTTCATTTATTTTCTCTGTATATAGTGTGACATGTCTGCAAAGTTGGTAGATCAAAATTTTTAAGTGAAAAGAATGACAATATATAGGAAAAGATTTAATTTATAACAAAAACCCAAGATATTAAAGTATTTAATATCTATTTAAAATTCAATTATCAATTTTCTCTTTGTGTTCCTTTATTTACTTTGCATTGATATATTACCTTGTTCTCCCAAGTGATTGAGGAGAGTGCATTCAAAATTCATTTGAGGACTGCAAGTATGGCTCAAGTGGTAGAGTGCCTTCCCTTCAAGCATGAAGCTCTGAGTTCAAACCCCAGTACAAACAAAAACTTTTAATAATTCACTTAAGTAGAAGATAAAACTCTTAAATCACTCTTCTCTGAGGCACTGCATAAGGCAACGGACTGATGTTTTGTGCTAGCCAGTTGTATCATCTCTCTTTTTGCCCCTGGTTGTGGCACTGATTTAACCAACTCATCCACAAGGAGAACAGATCATTCTCCAGTGTTGCTAAGAGGGAAGCTGAGCTAGGTATGGTGGTACATGCCTGTAATACCAGTAATGTAGGAGGCAGAGGCAGGAGGATCATAGGTTCAAGGTCAGTCTGGGCAAAGTTAGTAACACCCTATCTCAAAATCAGAGTAAAAACAAAATAACTGGGGGCATGGCTCAAGATGTAGACCTCTTGCTTACCATGTATGAGGCCCTGGGTTCAATGCCCAGTATTGCAAAAAATGTTCTTTAAAGCATTCTTCTAATGTCTCTGGTATCTTCATTTTTAGTGTGTGCAAAAACATTATAGATTCTAGAATGGTAATACCACCCACTGCACGAATGGCACCTTACCTTGTTGGAGTTTTCTAATAAAAACTGGAATGTGTTCTGCACAGTTTGGCATGTTTCTAGCTCAGTCTGGCTGAAAACTATTAAATAATCCTTGAGGTGATCATACACATTTCCATCAAGAGCCTGGAATAGAGGAGTAAACAAAAAAAAATTATGACAAAGCTTTCACACATAATGTCTGTCTACAAAAAAAATTAGGGATGTTCAGTTTACAACACACTAATAAAGGACAAAAGATACAGATTATTATGCAAGAGTAAGAACAGTTAATGTCACTTTGGAAATGCTGAATCTCTGTAATAAATAGCAATGAACACAGGTAAAATCCAACATTGCTAAAGCCAAGGGGAAAACAGGGCACAAGTGGGAAGCAAAAACACCTGGGCTCTGATCTTGCTTGTATGCCTATTGGCTTCTGTAGATACTTCATGATAGGTGAGGTGCAGAAACTAAATGAAATCATAAAAAGAAAGAATCCAGGCACAGAGCCTAGGACAGAATAGACAATCAACATCAGTCTCCTTCATTTTCCTCATCCATTACCGGTAGAGTTATAAATTAGTATAGATTATTAAAAAACAGAGAACAAACAATAGAAATGTTTTAATAAAAAGTGACTCAGAGATCCAGTTTGGGGAAGAAACACCAATACAGTATCAATGGAGGTTTCTGGGTTTTATTTTAGCATTCTTGTTCATTCTTTTATTTAAGCATTTATAACCAGATTCTAAAATTGAAAAAAATAATAAAAGAAGAGAAAAACAATGAACATTTGAGGAATGATTAAGCTATGATGCATATAGTCATTAAAATATATACAGTCATAAAATTAAAAATTAAGAAAAGTGAATAGATCAAAAGTATGTATCAAATACTCTTTTAAAAAGCAGACCAAGCAGAATAAAATTGTATTTATAATAATAATAAATAGCATTCTGGATTCTTGCCAATCAATGGAGGTTTTCTTAAAACTTGAGCAATCAGGCATGGTGGTTCATGCCTGTAACCCAAGCACACAGGGGCAGAAGCAGGAGGATCATGAGATTCAGGCCAGTCTGGACTACACAGCAAGATCCTATTTCAAAAAGAACAAAGGAGGTAGAATCCATCTAATATAAAAGTGACAATTTTAATAATTTTAAAGTGTATTATTCAATGTGTAACCATCACCACTGTTTAATTCCAGGACATTTGTATCACCACCCCTTACTCCCACCAAACAACAACTATACTTACTAAGTAGCCACTCTCCATTCCTCTCTCTAGCCCCCAGCAACCACTAATCTTTGTTTGTATAGATTTGCTTACTCTGGACATTCCATATAAATGTAATCATGTAATTTGTGCCTGGCCTCTGTTACTCAGCATGTTTTCCAGATTCATCAATGTAATCATATTTCATTCCTTTTTATGTCTGAATAATATTCCATTGCATGGATATAATATGTTTTATTTATCTATTCATCACTAGATGGAATTTTTTTCTTTCTACCTTTTGGCTATTATGAATAATTCTGCTTTGACCATTTATGTACAATTTTTGAAACTGAGCATACAAATGAATGCATTTTGTTATACATATCTAAAACAGAGCCCAGAGGTTATGGGGAGAAAAACACTCAGGTCTCAATGACTGTTCTGGGAACTTCCCTGCTAGGTCAATCCAGCAAAACAGCCTTCCTTATCTTTTTTTGGTGGTACTGGGGTTTGAACTCAGAGGTTCATGCTTGCAAAGAGGGTACTCTACCATCTGAGTCATACCTGAAGTCCAACTTCCTTATCTTTTAAGTCCATATTTTTTCTTCTTAGCAATCGACAGGACTGGCACCCAGCTAGCCTTACAGAGTGACTGCTTCTGCTCACCATTCAGAGCCTGCCAGCTCCCTCAAGCACTGAAAATGCCAATGAACTTTCTTTTCATAATGACTTGCTTCCCAGAAGTTGCAGAGGCCACCCCAGACCATCTACATGCATCCTGACTGCAATCCTCATTTTTTTGATATTACTTCCAAATAAAACCTTTCTTGTTTTGGAGATCTGCTTCTACCTTTATTTTAGTTTTGACAACTGGGAATATACCTAGGAGTGGAATTGCCAGATTATGCTGCAATTTTATGTTTAACTATTTGAGGAACATGTCAAACTTTTCCACAGTGGCTGTACTTATGCATAAGGGTTCCAGTTTCTCCACATCCCTGTCAACACATGTCACTTTCTGTTCTTTTGTGTTTTATTTTCTAAATTTTGAAATTATACAAGCCATTCTGGTAGATGGGAGACGGTATCTCACTGTGGCTTTGATTTGCATCTGTCTTTCTCTCTGGTCGTACTGGGGTTTGAACTCAGGACCTCATGCTTGCTTAGCAGTCACTCTACCACTTGAGCCATACCCTTGGCCCTAATTTGCATTTCTCTAATGACTAATGATGTTGAGTATCTTTTCATGTGCCTATTGGACATTTTAATATTTTCTTTGGAGAAACAGTTCTTGATTTTTTTTAAAATCAGGATGTCTTTTTGCTGTCAAGTTGTAAGAGTTGTAAGAGTTCTTTATATATGATTCTAGACTCTTATAAGATAAAAATTTCAAATTTTTTCTTCCATTTTTCAGGCTTTTTACTTGATAGTGTCTTTGATAAACAAGTTTAAAATTTTAATATAGTCTAACTGTTATTTATTATTTTATTGCTGTGTTGGTGCTATATACGATTCCTCAGTGAAAATTTACAATAAATTTCTTTTTCTCTTATGTTTGGTTATTGTATTAAACTTATAAAACTGACTTAAAAATAATTCTGTCCCCCACACATTGAGTAATAAAGTTTCACCTTCTGTGGAGCCTTAGCCACTAGATGGCACCATTGAACACCATTTGAAAATACAGGCCGTGCAAAATACCTTTAATTTAAGGTATTATGTAGTAGTAGTAGTTATGTAAAATCACCAGACACTGTTGGTGTTGAGTTGGAATAAAAATTCCAACCTTAAGACATGAGTTTCATGAACTTGTTTTATAAAAAAAGAAACACATAATTTATTCAGATACAAAGTTTTTGGCTTAAAAATGCTCTTGGTAGGTCATAGCCTTGTATTTGCAGAAAGTCACTGAAGTATTTTACTTACATATAGGAAATTATAGCATAGACATTGTGAACTCAAAAAGAGAAGGCATGTATTTTCAGCTGAACCAAATGCCCCCACGGTCTCTATGACTTCATCACTGAGCACTGCCTGTACCTAGGCGTTGTGCTAGCTATGTGGATGTGAGTGCAGGGAATCAGAATGGTTTAATACAAGTCCTTATTTATTTATTTATTTATTTTGGCAGTGCTGAGGATCAAACCTCAGGGTCTCACACATGTCAAGCACACACTCTACCACTGACCTACATGCCCAGACCTCAGAGTCCTTTTCTTAGTCCTTACCTGCATTATTGCAGAAATTTCCTGTGGCCCTGCACCCAGGTATCCCTCTTGCCCACCCATTTCACTCTCTACTCTGTATATCTTTCTTCTTTTTACTTCATGTCATTTAACTTTGCACTTGTGACACCTGTCTGCCTTTCCTTTGGTTGTTAAGCTCCATGAAGAAGGGATCATGTTTAGCACTGCATCTTCTGCGCCAAGTATGCAGTCTGACATATTGGCAATGTTCAAAAAAACCCGTTTAACAAATAATACATTGAATCAGAATTCACAGATTTAATATTTGAACTCAGGGCTTTAAACTCAGGGCTCATGCTTGCTAGGCAGGTGCCCCTCCACTTAAGCCACTCCCTGACAACCCCAGAATCCACAGATTTAAAAATATAAATGAAGTCACACTGAACCCCATAACTGAAATGTAAGCCTAATGATATTAGGTACAGGAACTACCTAATCCAAGGACTTGTTTTAAGAGATAAATTATGTTGCCTTTTTATATTCCTGAGTCTCTTCAACTAAACAGATTAAAAACCTTACAGTAGATAATTTTTATTTCAAAACTGAATCAAATACAATCCAAATGCTGCATTTATTTCTTATAAATTTCAAGTAATAAGTATTTAAAGTTTATAATAAATGATAAAAGAATCACAACAGCTGGGTACTGAAAACTCACATCTGTAATCCTAGATACTTGGGAGGCTGAGATCAGGAAGATCATGATTCAAGGCTAGCCTGGGCAAATAGTTCGTGAGAAACCATCTCCAAAATAACCAGGGCAAAATGGACTGGAGGTGTGGCTCAAGCGGTTAAGGGCTTTTTAGCAAGTGTGAAGCCCTTAGTTCAAATCTCAGTCCCCCCAACACAAAAAGAATCACAACAATAAAAGTTTGATAAGGGCATGAATAGTAAATATGCACTGAGATTTGTCTACAACTCAGAATTTAACTGAGCAAGCAAAATGTTCTCAGAGTACACATGTATGCTCAATTTCCAATGAGCAGATATGCACAAACTTTAGTTAAGAGACCTGTGTAAAGAGCCATAAATTTCTTCATCAATGATACAATTAGAATGCACACAAGCTCAGAAATGGCAAGAGGGCATTCTTTTAAGGTCTATACAAATATGAATTAATCTGGAAGTATATGTTCCTTGGTTGTCTCTAATATGCAAAAATTCCAAAGGTAATTCATCCAAGTGTACATTTTGAAAATATTCAAACTTTTGACCATTTGATATGAATTTCTAAAAGAATTCTGCAATATCTAAACTGAGAAAACATGGGGTCTTAATCAGCAATATATTTGAGTGGTCCAGCAGTGTTTCTGAAAATGAATTTGAATGCCGTTAGGCATGCTCTTTCCTATTAGCTTGGATTAAGTACAACTGTTCCCTCACATGTTACCTCTGCTCACATTTTTCATTCTATCTGCTTGACCTCTAAAATCAGTTGAGTTTGGAACTCAAGCTCAAAAAATTCTCAAAATATTAAAAAAAAAAAAAAGAATCCTAAGGCAAATTCAGAAACAGAATTCTAGGATGTTCCTTCCACTCAACATTTATTTTACAGAGAAAGATAAATTCCCTAGAACTTGTTTTAAGAGGTGAATTATGATGAGTTAGGAATTAGGAGGGAAAAAAAAACCACCTATGTTTTTTCTAAGCATTTGATGCAATTTCCCCTCAAGTGAGAAC